ATAATGCGGGCGCTAGCAGCGCTGCAGCAGCTGCTCAGCCCTGCCCCGCTCGCGTAAAGATGCCCACTCGGGAAGGCGGTCTAACTCAGCGCTGCCAAGCCCTGGGCAGAACGGTCCCACTGACCAGTGTTGCTCAGCACCCCGCGGGCACTGCTGGGCAGCGCTGGTCACCGCCGCCGCTCCAGCGCTATGTAGGGGCGCCCTTTAAAGGGGCGCTGGCGCAGCCCACAAGTTCCCTGCCCGCGCTGCATGTGCAGCTCTCGCGCTGAATGTTCCATTTCAAGTGGGAAATTCAGCTGAGCCCTGGGTTATTCCCCATCGGATGCCCAGGCCGGACTGCACACCCACTGTCGCACATGGCTTTGGTCTTGCTTGCAGGTGCATCCGACTCAAATGACGGGCGAGAACCGCGGTACGTACCACGCAGGCGCCAGGAGGAGCTCCGTGGCAATTTTGCTTATCCTGACACTCCTGGCTGCCGGAGCCCAGGGTTGCACAGTTATTGCACAGTTATTGCACAGTTATTGCACAGTTATTGCACAGTTATTGCACAGAATGCTCGACACAGTCGTCTCCTTCACTCTCTCAGAGGCGCTAGCAGTGGCAGCGGCCGTCGGCCTGTTTCTGGGCCTGTTCTCGGCAGCAGCTCTCCTCGTGCTCCTGCGATGGGTGGAGAAGCGCCTGGTAGAGGCGCGGCCCGGCGGCGACAGCCGCCCCCCGCGGCATGCCGAACCCAGTGTTCGGCACGTGCCGCTCGAGGGCAGCTTGCAGCCTGCGCGGGACCCAGCGCCACCCACAGACGCCTTTGCGGCTGGCTGCACGCCTTCTACAGCATGTCAGTCAGCGGCGTGCGGGTGCAGCGGGTGTGGATCACGCGGAATGGGCGGATGGCGCTTGAGGCGTCGCTGCCCGCCGCCATGGCTGCTGCTGTGCTGGCTGGCAGCAAGCGGCTCAAGGGTACTGGGATCACCCTTGGGCCCGTCCTCAGCCCCAGCGAGCTGCGCGAACGGGAGGCGCGCAGGCAGCAGCAGCCACAGCCCACCCCGGTCCCGCCCCAGCCTGGCCGACAGCGCCGTGCGCAGCGCTCCGCCCCGCCACCGCTTGCCGGCGGCACGGTGCAGCAGCAGCAGCAGCAA